TACAACACGGACAGCTGTCACCTCCAGAAGTTCTCCGATGACTCGGCGATTGTGGGCTGTGTGTCTGAGGGGAACGAGCTGGAGTACCGGTCGGTCATCATGGACTTTGTGAATTGGTGTTCGAAAAACCATCTGTGTCTGAACACCAATAAGACCAAAGAGATGGTGATCGACTTTAGGAGAAGACCACCACTCCACCCCCCAGTGAACATCCAGGGGCAGGACATAGAAACTGTACAAAGTTTCAAATACCTGGGTGTTCACGTGAACAACAAACTGGACTGGACTCACAACACCGACGCCCTGTATAAAAAGGGCCAGAGCCGCCTTCACCTCCTGAGGAGGCTGAGGGCCTTTGGAGTCAGCAGGCCCCTCCTTCAGAGCTTTTACGACTCTATAGTGGCCTCAGCCCTCCTCTACGCTGTCGTCTGCTGGGCCCCTGGCAGCACAGAGCGGGACAGGAAGAGGCTGAATAAGCTGGTGAGGAAGGCCACTTCTGTCCTGGGCTGCCCTCTGGACTCAGTGGAGGAAGTGGCTGAGAGGAGAGTGTTGTCCAAACTGAGATCCATCATGGACAACACCTCTCACCCCCTGCATCGGACTGTAGAGGAGCTGAGCAGCTCTTTTAGTAAAAGACTCAGACACCCTGTGTGCAAAAAAGAGCGATACCGCAGGTCTTTCATCCCTGCTGCTACCAGACTGTACAACTCTGCACTTTAACAACTGCTGTGCAATTGTGTTATATTTATTGACCTGTGTAATATGTGTACTGTGTGTGAGCCATCAATGATTGTATATATTTTAATCACCCAAATCTTTACGCTGTGTTGCTTCCTTGTATATTTGCTTGCTCTTGCTGTACTTAATGCACCTTTTCCTCCTTTTAAATTCTAACCGTTGTGTGACCAGTAAATTTCTCCACTTGTGAGATCAATAAAGCTCTTATCTTATCTTATCTTATCAAGATATCAGAGTGGATTCAGAAGAGGGAGAAATACCATGGATCCAGCTATATGTTTAGAGCATGAAATAAGGAAAGCACAGATTAATAGGGAAAGTGTAGTAGCCATCTTTTTTTATATAGAGAAGGCTTATGATATGTTGTGGAAAGAGGGTTTATTGATTAAAATAAGTAAATTGGGTATAAAAGGCCCAATGTATAAGTGGATCAAGGATTTTTTGATGGGAAGATCTATCTAGTTAAAATAGGGAAGTGTTATTCATGTCACGACCGGGTCGTGACATGAATAACACTGAGCGAGGACTCAGATGCAGAGCTGGTTCCAAAGGTTTTATTAAACACAAAACGCACTCCAACGGAGTGGTACGGCAGGCGCTCCGAAAGGAGGCAAAAAGTAACAACAAAAAAATCACTCTAGCAGAGGACGTGGGAAAAAACAAAGTAACAAAA